AATGGATGATGGAGAAGACCTCCGACACTAAACTCTCCTCCTCTTGCATGTTTCCGCTGTCCATAGCGTTCCTTGACAGTGTCGTTTCTAAGTCACCAATTTAGTGCTACTTGGTCTCAATGGAATTTCCCATTGGGAACCTACTAGCACTGAGTTGCTAACTGGTTAGCAACTTAGTGCTACTTGGTCTCAATGGAATTTCCCATTGGGAACCTACTAGCACTAAGTTGCTAATTGGTTAGCAAGATGCTTCCAACCAACCAGCCACAACCAAACTTGTTTGCAAACCTTCCGCCACAACAATCCCGCCCCCTTGACAAACGACCAATCACATTCACTTTATTCACTCGTGTAAAGTCGGGAACCACTTGGCAGAATTCGAAAATGCAAAACAAGCCGCTTCCCTAAGACTTTAAACAGATTTTACCTTTCAAAAACAATGCAGCAATAGAGTTGATTCCTTCCCGCTATCATCGCAGCCCCAACCCCTTTACATGAGAACAGAAGACCTCGCCTATTCAGCCAGGCCAACTATTCCCTTTAACGCCCGCCTTTCAGAGACATATTCAGGTATGGGGCATTACAAGCTAACAAAAGAAGCCAAACGGCCCCCATTCCAAAGGGATGGACCCGCTCATCCGTTTCTATTTGCATGTTTTCTAAACAAAAACAAGGCTTCGTTGGTCCACCCTATGAAACCTGGAACTCAACGCTATTTCTGCCATTTTGAATAGAAAAAAACTTCCCGGATGGGAAGCGAAACGTCTTCAAACTTCAAACAAAGTCCAGTGGATTGTTTTTGAACTTTTTGGGAAGAAGAGTCAGAGACGTGTGTGTCTGTGTCACCATCCAGGTCCGGGCTCTTCCCAAGGCCTACACCATCAACGCAGTGTCCATAGAGGACACCATTACCCTGCTGGCTGCTCTGGGTCAGATCCGATCTCTGCTGAGCGTTCGGATGGGAAGAGAAGAGGAGAAGCTGATGATCAGAGGGCTCAGGTAGGGTCACTGACCTTCTGCTTGGAATGAGCTTGAAGCAGAGCTTGAGGTTGAGATCAAGGCAGCTGCCATTCACCCACCACCTGCAGGTTGGGAGTCCTGAAACGTTTACATGTGTCTCTGCTTCCATTCCTGAATCCAATTAATTAATCCACCTGTAGTGAAGTTTTAGAGTCCTGCTGATGGCTTAAAGTTGACTCAGGTGTGTTGAAGCATCTGAAAGGTGCAGAACAGCAAAACCTGCAGGACTGGAAATGAGGAATAAAGGGTTTAAAATCCCAGTTTGGAATGTTTTCATTCATCTGCTATAAAGAAAATGAATAAAAACATTTATATATATGTAAGTTTCATAAGGAAACAAATATTACTATATTATTATTATAGTGTTAGTGATTTTCTATAACAGCAGCAGTGAAAGCAAATATAGAAAATGTCTAGAGTGCCTGGTTCTATGTTGTAACCTCCTGAAAGCAGTCAGTGTTTACAGAACGATTCATTTCATAAAGACTGTTGATGTCTGAGAACATCTGACCGCTGAGGGATGTTTCCTCTGACCTTCATATCCAGCAGAGCATTTTCTATTGGAGGGTTCATGTAGCTACGGAGGGAATGTTGCTCCATTATTGTTGCAAGCAAAGAACTTGCTGTCTAAATGGAAACTGTAAAAATGTGAAAACCTGAATGTTGATAGAAAATTTGACAAATCAGCAAAGTTGTTCTGTTTTCGATGTTTGCTGCAGTGTTTTGGATTAGCTGAAGGTTCCCAGCTGCAGGTAATTCTCTCTCCGCAGTGACATCATGAACAACAAGGTGTTCTACCAGCATCCGAACCTGATGAGAGCTTTGGGGATGCATGAGACGGTCATGGAGGTCATGGTCAATGTTCTCAGTGGCGGAGACTCCAAGGTAACCAGGCTGCAAATGGATGGATGTTCACATCCTCCAATAAAAGTCTAAATAAAGTGTTTTTCTACATGTTGACAGGAAATCACCTTCCCTAAAATGGTGGCCAACTGCTGCCGGTTTCTGTGCTACTTCTGCCGCATCAGTCGGCAGAACCAGAAGGCCATGTTTGACCATCTGAGCTACCTGCTGGAGAACAGCAGCGTGGGCCTCGGTGAGTGGAAGAGCAGCACATGTCTGAAGCTGCTGCTTCAATAAATACAGGGAGGACAAAATGAGACCAATTTATTGATAAATGAGAGTTTTGCCTCCGTCAGGTTTAATGTACAAACCACCCTAGTTTTAACAGGAGGGGGCGGTAGAGGGCGCCCTCTACTCCTTGCTGTACACCTTATTTGACCAATTAGATGAGTGTCATGATTTTACTAAGGTTCAGACCCAAATGCAAAGACCAAACAGGGAGACCAGGGGAAAAGGTTTAACAGGTTTTATTGAAGAGATAATGCAGAGAGAAGTGTTGCTCTGAACACTGCTCAACCAGAACTGAAAAGTGAGAGGAAGGCACAGCGATTAGTTCAGGCTCAGTAGGAAAGTAAATTTGTGATTTGGTTGCTGACTCACGTTTCCAGAGAAGTTATTGAATCTTTGACTCCAGTCTGTGTGCTGTGGTTCCAGTGTTTGTCTGATTCGGTGGAGGGCGGAACAGGGTTTACCCAGAATGCGGTTGTTTGTAGGTAAATGAAGAAACTGACTGCCACTCAGATTTCCTGCGGTACTCTAACGGGTCGTAATGGAGATGAATCCCTTTCTCAGTGTGAAGCTCAAACGATCTCTTGGGCAGAGTGGATCCAAACCTCCTGTTTGAACCCTAGCTCAGTTTAAAGCTCAGTTGATCCTTCCAGTGAGAGAAGGTCCAAAAAAATCCAGTTTGCAGGATGACTTCCTGCTGAGAGGCAAAAGACAAACAATGTTAAAACTCAGGTTGACAAGAACTCAGTTTGACTCAGCAAAACTCAGCTTGGCTAGAGTACCCAAAACTGGCAAACACTCTGGCGTCGAGGTAGTGGCAGTCAGGAGCTTAAAGGAATAGTACACCCAAAACATGATTAGCCTTCATTTTCTACTCACCCCCATGCTGAACAACACTCTGGAGTACTTTTTTGATATC